GCTGCCTCATTGGCTCCGGTGTAGCCCTTGTCATTTCGTTCCTCGCTGCTAACTTCAGGTTGCACCAGTGCGTCCACCTGTGAACCTCCATCATCAGCTGCTGCGGAGACCTGCGCCCCATTGTTGCAGTCGCCCGTGGAACGTAACGCCATATGCACCTCAACCCGTGCTTCCTTCGCACTCCAGGTAATATCTGGCGCATCGACCCGCGCATCATTGGCGCTCCAGGCCTCATTTTTCAGATCTTCTGTGTCTCCAGCTATTCCAGAAGCTTCTTTTTCCCTTTGAATGGCAGGAACCTTGGCACCAAACGAAGAGACCTCCTCAGTCGCAACACACGACCTTTTCCCTCCGTCTTCCAAATCTCCAGGACCACATTCCCGAACGACAGGTACCACATCCACCACTCGATCTTCTGCAGCCGACACAGTTCCGATCTCCACATTGGGAATCTTTTCTTCTGGACCTACCGATTCCACCGCTGCCACACCCTCAGAAAGTGCTCCCATTCCTTCCCGATCCAGATGTTGAGCTCCAGCGATGTCTGTTCGGTTTCCAGGAATCTCCTCCTCATCAGGAGAACCCGAGGTCGGGGCGTCACCACCAGCCCTAGGACCGCTATCCCTGATAGTAGAGGAAAAATCTTTTTCACCTAAACTATTTACACTACCCTGGAATGCCCTCGTAGACTCAGTCTTCGGAGTAGAGGATGAAGAATCCAGTGCCGCCTCCATTTCCAGCTCATTGCCCGAAGGAGACCCAACCACCTCGTCACTCTTCATCTTTTCACCTACCACCGGCAATGTCCACTTGCTTTCCTGCGTATCCAGGCAGTAATAATATTGTCTCCCATCTTCATGGAGGTGCCATTCCCACGTTGTCCCATCGCACGCTTTGATCAGATGCTCGTCTTTCCGAAAACCATCCCTTTCAGAGACCTGTCGCATCTCGTCCTCTTCTTCGGACAACTGTCGCAACCTCTCAGCCTCCATCTGTAGGATCTCCTCCTCCCCCATGGCGTATCCAGCAGCAGGTGCAGCTTCAAAGCTGTCCGCACCCTTCTGTTCATGACCGCTTCCACCACCTTGGGAGCTCGAAGATGGATCCCTTTTGATCTTGTTCAGAGGCCTCCTGGCCGCTTGCAGCACTTCTCCAATCAGATCGGTCTGAGACTCTTGGTCTACCATTCGACCCGAAGTCGAAGACGACGGCTGATACCCGTGTTTGTGCAACACTCGTAAAACAGTCACCTCCATTTCACGATCTATACCACCAGTCGCGTCCCAGTTCCTTTTCTCACCAGGCTTTGGCGATACAGAAACAGCACGTCCTTCAGCTTCAGCATTGCTAACCATATCCCTATTGGGATTCATACCCACATTGGGGCTTTCTGCAACCAAGGCCTCTTCCAGATGTTCTTCAGCGCCGGGAATCACCTCTTCCAACACCGATCTTTCACCCAGAGACTCAGCTGCACCATTTCCAGCTCCACCATCTTGTCATCCGAGGCAAGTTGGAGCCATCGCTTCGGAGAAGGCATTGCTTCTTGATCCCAAAAACCTTGAAAGAACACTTAACCGCAGGGAACCTAATTTGGGCTCATAACCTACGGGGGGACAACCAAGGAAGGAAATCAACTCCCCTAATCGCCCTGAACTTATATTTCCCAGATCGAACCAAGAAACAACCAAGAACACGGATAAGAGCAACAAGGAAGGGGCACCCTTACACAAGTAGAGGGGCACTAACCCAACCCTCACTCCCAAACACGGACTTTTTTCTTTGGACGGGCTGGCCATCCTTGAGCCAAACATAGTTTACGGGTTCATTAACCCTTTCAACTTCCAACACTAACTCCTTTCTACAATACCAATTGCAGCTCCGCATAGGGTTTAGGGTTTAGGGTTTAGGGTTTAGGGTTCAGGGTTCAGGGTTTAGGGTTTAGGGTTTAGGGTTTAGGGTTTAGGGTACCCGAAAGGAATCATCACTTCAGGAGCTGCTCATGTCGTCGCATGACTTGACGAAGCACCTGCGGCCGTTGTGATTCCCGCGACTCTTGAGGCCCAAGCTGTGGCAGCTGTAGCTTTAACATGAGTCCAAAACTCCTCCACCATCCCACGCCTTGAAACCCTAAACCCTAAACCCTAAACCCTAAACCCCAAACCCCAAACCCCAAACCCCAAACCCCAAACCCTAAACATGCCTCGAACACTTCCTCTTTCGCCCTCCCCGATTTCTCAGTGCGCTGGTGATCCGGTGGCTTTTGCCCCCCATTCTTATGCCGGGCAGCCGGGTGGCGTGGCTCTGCGACTTGGCCATGGAGGTGTTTAGGGCTGTTCTTTAGGCTTCTACATTGAGACATATATATATATATAAACAACTATATATATATACACATTTATTTAGATCATCAGAAAGTTATACTCCTATCTCCTAGTGCTGCTACTATACTTCCAGGAGGCCTCACCCTGCTCTCCTCCACGGCATTGACCTTCGTATGTGGTAGCGGTCACTCTTGCAATCGGTGGGGAGATTGTTTAGGGTTTAGGGTTTAGGGTTTAGGGTTTAGGGTTTAGGGTTTAGGGTTGGAGATTGTCCAGAGAAGGGGGAGGTAAAAGGCAGAACCAGTCCAGAAGCCTAGGCCTGTTGCTCACCTCGAAGGCTATGGCCGCCGAGGCGCTTTCTAGAGTAACGAGCGTTGAGGGGGATTTTGGGGTTTGGGGTTTTAAACCCTAGGCCCTAGACCCTAAACTCTAAACCCTACACCCTAAACCCTACACCCCTAAACCCTAAGCCTAAACCCTAAACCCCACACCCTAAACCCTAAACCCCAATCCTTAAACCCTTCATCCTGTAGCGAGGCACAGGGGTACCAAGGCAGCGTGAGCTCACAGAGAACCTATTTCATGTTGCAATGGTGTTCTGACTTAGTCAAATGTGGGTTTACGAAAACCAGGGGCCCCTGATAAACAGTAGGATTCCCTTACAACAAGGACCCCAGTAAGGTACCCCTAATTTCGGAAATTTCCATATTGGGAATATAGGGGTCGGAATAGTATTCCCTTATGGTCCCTAGATAGTTCATAGTTCTACTATAAGAACCCCCAAAACCCTACAACAACAATGACCCGAAATCCCTCCAATATAAGTGTACTCTTTTAACCCACAGCACCCTGAAATACAATAATACTATAATAACCCCCAATACCCTATAACAGAACTATACGGTAATCACACCCCCCCCCCCAAAGACCCTGTAGTATAAACATTCTCAAAACCCTATAATGAAATTATATAGTGACCCCCACCAAACCCTATCATAAACTTACGCTAGAATAACCCCAGAGCCCTATTCTAATCTCGTTCAAGGGCTGTTGATGGCTGTTGCCCGCTGGAGGACTCCTTGCAATTCGAGGTAACGCGCTCGCGGCAGCTTGGCAAAGTGGCAGCTGTTGACCTGCACCCTAAGCTGTAAACCCTCAACCCTCAACCCTCAACCCTCAACCCTCAACCCTGAACCCTCAACCCTCAACCCTCAACCCTCAACCCTCAACCCTCAACCCTCAACCCTCAACCCTCAACCCTCAACCTTCAACCCTAAACCCTAAACCCTAAACCCTACACCCTAAACCCTAAACCCTACACCCTAAACCCTAAACCCTAACCCAATAGGGCAGGAAGTGCTCTGTCAAACCTCTGAGCCTTGAGCCCTAAAACACGGAGAGCGCCCGGTGCCTCAGGCTGAACGCGAACACGCTTCATGTCTCGTTCCAGCGACAAGCCGCGACACTCGCCTGTGCCTTAGGGTTTAGGGGTTCAGGGTTTCAGGGTTTAGAGTTTAGGGGTTTAGGGTTTAGGGTTTAGGGTCTAGGGTTTAGGGTTTAGGGTTTAGGGGATTATGGGCTTAGGGGTTTAGGGGTTTAGAGCCTGTGCTTTCTTCGGGTGATGTGCTGTAACTGAATCATTGAGGAGATGTGGGAGGGGACAATGGGTTTCTATCACCATGGACTCCAAAATGGGACCCGTCCTATCCCATCTTCGTCAAAAAGACCAGGAATCTTACATGGGCGGACGCGTTGGCGATGCTGGAAGAGGAGCCACTGCCCGCGTGCCCAGAGCATGCTTGCGCGCACGATTTGCTCTGATCTTGGTCGCAAGGAGGTATTCTTGCGGCTGCTCAAACTAGCCTCGGCTGAGAAGAAGAAGAAGCAGAAGAAGAAGAAGAAGAAGAAGAAGAAGAAGAAGAAGAAGAAGAAGAAGAAGAAGAAGAAGAAGAAGAAGAAGAAGAAGAAGAAGAAGAAGAAGAAGAAGAAGAAGAAGAAGAAGAAGAAGAAGAAGAAGAGAAATAAGAAGAAGAAGAAGAAGAAGAAGAAGAAGAAGAAGAAGAAGAAGAAGAAGAAGAAGAAGAAGAAGAAGAAGAAGAAGAAGAAGAAGAAGAAGAAGAAGAAGAAGAAGAAGAAGAAGTAGATCAGAGCCTTTTGCCTCCTCTCCTGCTGTGTGTGATCGTCATCTTCTGATGTTGCTGGGTTTGGGATGTCTAGCAGCCAAGGTTCAGACAGAAACTGGCGGAAGAGTTCAAGGCCGGTGGAAGAGCTCAGGGCAATCTGAATGTGAGAGTATCCGCCTTCAGCATCCTCGGATGTCTTGACAAACCCTACTCGTGACATGAGAAGAATTCCCACCCCCCATTATGGCCTACAGCTCCGTTCCGGACGAGGCGTCGCTGTTTTTGATGACACGTGTCATCCCGCCAGTCAGACCCTTGCTGGCTTGCAGGCCTCCCCATGGCCTGCTTTCTTCTGGGAGTGCGCCCCATTGACCCTCGAAACAGCTGGACAGCGGCAACTTGGTTTCTTAGACATCGTTCTGGATGAGTTGGATGCTTCATGTTTCATCTCAGGGATCCTGCAGAGCAGAGCACAGTAGTGTGTCATGCCGTGCTCGCACCCCGCAGGAGCCTTGTCAGCTCAATCTATTCAGGTCCACGCCTGCTAGGGGCTATGAAGCATGTCCCTGGCCATGCATCTGTCGATGTCTGCTATATCGACCAGGGTCAGGAGCGCTTTACCTCGATCGCCCGGTGCGCTGAAGGAACTGAGGTGGTGGCCTCCAGCTCGAGTGCGGCTGTCCGGGATTACGAGGACAAGTTGAAGGCCATCGAGCTGCAGCGTCGTGGAGTGGAGAAGGCGGCGGTAGCTTCCAAGCTTGGCCGATCTGAGAAGTGGGTGCAAAAATGGTGGAAGCAGGAGCCCCGGCTGCTTCAGCGACCGCACGGGGCACAGGACAGGGTGTTCCAGCAGACGCCCCTTGAGGGCTTCAGGGACCTGGAGATCATGCGGAAGTTTGCACCCGACGCGGAGCTCTTCGAGACCCTCGTCAAGAAGGTGCCCTGGAGGCAGGGGAGAGTGATGATGCGAGACCAAGAGACGGGTGACCTGGTGCTCCGCTTTGACCATAGAGGCCATACCATCCCGGCGTCGCGCATGGTGGCAGATCGGCCACATGACATCCCGGAGCTTGACCGGCTGCTTCAGCGTGCTGCTGCCAAGGCCAACATCCGAGACCCAGCAGCTAGGGTGGTCCTCAATTTGTACAGGGATGGCACAAAGCAGCTAAACTCACACCGGCACGACTATTGGACTTGCTTGATCTCGCTGGGTGCTCCAAGGGTTCTCTTGGTGGATAACCGGCCACAGATCTTGGAGCATGGAGACATGATTGTCTTCGGGACGCAGATGCATGGAGTTCCAAGCATGCCTAGTTTGATGGAGGGCCGAATCTCCATTGTCATCTTCTTCCATCCGGACCAGGACAATTTGGAGCGCCGCTGGCTGACTGTGACCAGTGAGAGCGCAGACATCAAAAGCTCACCTGCAGATTGTCACAGCACTCTCACGGACATGCGAGATGCGACGGCGCTGCGGCGCGCCAACTGGCGGCCGACAAACGCAGAGCTGCAGTTCATGGAGTATCCGGAACTGCCAGCCACAACTGCATCTTGGAAGTACTTAGCCAGGGCTGCGGTTCCCCTAAACCCTAAACCCTTGGGCAGCCTCGTGGGGCCTAAGCAGTTTGGTACATGGGTGTGGCAAGGTGGGAGTGCGCGCAGGGTGTACCTACTCAATACGTCATACCCCGCGCCACCCTTGCGTTGTCACTGACTTTGTGGGTTGTGGGCTGTTGTGGGCAGAGGTGTGGTCCGTGGGTTGCGCCGGCGTTTCTGAGACGCAGCTCCTGGCCGAGCTGGTGCCTCGTGGCGTGGAGTGGCTCTGGGACCTACGGCTGGGAAGGGCGCTGCCGCTGTGGCTTGGCTTCGGATGCCTGGATGAGGAGAGGACCCTGAACCCAAAGCTGAAAACCCCAAACCCTAAACCCTTTTCCCTATATTACCCTTATAAGGAAGAGATTTTTTAAACCCTAAACCCTAAACCCTTAAACCCTAAACCCCAAAGCCTGGGGGGGTTCTCAAGCAATTCGTAGATGAGGTCCGAGCACCTTCGCGCCGCCTGCCGGGGCCGTCTTCGTTTTCGCTCCTGGCACCTTGCGCCCGCAACTCCTGGGGCCAGCTTTTGGGTGTCCTCTTAGGGTTTAGGATTTAGGGTTGAGGGTTTAGGGTTGAGGGTTGAGGGTGGAGGGTTTAGGGTTGAGGGTTGAGGGGTCTCCCAATTCAGTAGTTTCGGGTTTGATATGACGTCCAGAGCTCTTAACGTGGCATTCTCTCTTCGCTTCACTGCTCTGCCCACTTACGAGGGCTGTCAGGACCCCAAGCACACGTGGTGGTTTTCGAAACTAAGGGTACCTTTTTGGGGTCCTCATTATGCGGGAATCCTACGATTTGGGGGGTCGATTTCACACATCTAAACGAGACGTCCCTAAACACCACGGGCCACTCGATCTCGAAAGTTCTTCAACTCCGAAACCCCAAACCCTACACGCCCTAAATGCCGCAAACACCCCAGAAGCCCCAACCTAAACCCTAAACCCTAAACCCTAAACCCTAGACCCTAAACCCTAAACCCTAAGCCCTAAACCCTAAACCCTACACCCTGAAAAACCTTGTTTCCGGACTCCTTAAGCCGTCACTTCGAGGCCCTTGGGAGCTGCGCCGGCCGGCGGCCTCGCGAAGCATCTCTTCCAGACCGAGGCGCCGTGCTTTGCAATTTTTTTTGGGGGGCCCAGAAAAAATGACCTTGCCCAGTAAAAAATGACCTTGCCCAGAGAAAAAATAACCTTGCCCAGTAAGCAAATGACCTTGCCCATTAATGACCTTGCCCAGTAAAAAAATGACCTTGCCCAGTAAAAAAGTGACCTTGCCCAGTAAAAAAATGACCTTGCCCAGTAAAAAAATGACCTTGCCCAGTAAAAAGATGACCTTGCCCAGTAAAAAGATGACCTTGCCCAGTAACATTTTTACTGGGCAAGGTCATTTTTTTACTGGGCAAGGTCGTTTTTTTGGACGAAACGACCTTGCCCAGTAAAAAAATGACCTTGCCCAGTAAAAAAAAGACCTCGCCCAGTAAAAAAAATGACCTTGCCCAGTATCTCCTTAATATTTGAATTATATATGAAAGAGAGGTTTAGGGTTTAGGGTTTGGGGAACCTTGGGTTTAGGGTTTAAGGAGGCAGGGAAATCCAGGGCTTATAGGGGGAGAGAGGTTAGAGGATTATGGGGTGTTAAGGGCGGTTTTTGTGGTGAGGGCTGGGGTTTATGGGGTTTGTGGGTTTAGGATACTACCTTACTTGGGATCTTCTAAGCTCGGCTGTAGTTTACGGGTGCGTTTTTTTAAGGTTGAACAAAACCTTTTAGGTAGGGTTTTTTCGTGTTTAAAAAACCCTTTTAGGGTTTAGGGTCTGCTTTTAACTCTTTTAGGGTTTGTTTTCTTATTAACGTTAAACACAAACCTTTTAGGGCTTTTTTTAACGATAAAAATACCTTTTAGGGTTCAGGGTTTTGCAACGTCAAAAAACCTTTTTGGGGTTTAGGAGGGTTGGGCAGAAGTGTGGGGGAAAGCCCCTCTCCGCCGTACGTTCCCAGCCCAGCTGCGCCTAAGTGCCCACTTGCTTGGGTTTAGGTAAAGTTTAGGGTTTAGGGTTTAGGGTTTAGGGTTTAGGGTTTAGGGTTTAGGGTTTAGGGTTTAGGGTTTAGGGCTTGGGGTTCAGGGTTTAGGGCTTGGGGTCTGACAGGAGGGCAAGACTTTCGTCTACCGGCTGCTGCGGGATGGGCAGCGGGCGCGGATTTGCATCGCAGGCCTTTGCTTGCTCCAGGTTCTTGGGATTCATATTAGGGGGTCGGAATTATTTCTAACAATTTTAGGGTTGCCGCAGGTTCTTGGGATTCATATAGGGGTCGGAATAATTACAAGTTTAGTAGCCCCCACGCCCCTATATTCGTTGCGCAGTAACTCCAAGGCCCCCAGCTTGCGAACGTAAACATGTCTGCTGTCAGCTGCGTGAAGATTCAGTTTCCAGCGGCTCCCTATAAAAGCGTGTGGCCAGGCACTGCGGCGGATTGGCGCCAGGATGACACTCGTCTGGCAGTGGGATTTGCCGTGGATACTGGGCAGCATTTACTTACCGACGTCACCACAGCTCACTCGCTTGTCAGGAGCGCCGTCTGCCGAATCTATTGAGTGTTGCCTGCGCCAAGGTGGCGGCTGGATCGAAGATGCTGCATCTCAATCTTGCAGGGTCACCTGCAGAAGAATGGCATCCAGCTGACCTTTCTCTTCCGTCTCATCTGCAAGCAACAGGTGGACTTACAGGGTGCCAGTATCCGGGGGACAACAAGAGCGAGGTGATCCGGGTCCCAGCATCAATAGAGCCCATAGAGATCAGAGATCGCGATGGGCTTGCGGAGGCGGAGCCCAAAGAGGGCGCGAAGGGCTCCAAGCATGAACTTGCGAGACCCCGCCGCTGGAACAGGTCTCGGGTCGGAACAGGATGATCGAAGTCAGGCCTCATCTAGCTCATTCGGCTGAGATGAATCTGCCAGTGTCCATGTTGCAGAGAGCATTCTCGCCGTATCCCGCCTTCAGTCATCCGGTGTTGTGCAAGCCCATGGACGTTCCACCATCTGGCCTTGCGGGGGGCTGCTTCCTGTCGCACCACGCCGCCTCGGTGGTACTGCGCATCAGTGTACTCCGATGTTTCTTGTCGTTTTTCCTTTGGTGGAGGTTGGCATTGAGTCGGAGGGAGGAGGGAGGAGGGAGCCTTCGAGTGGCAACACCCAGCAAGTCTCCACGGCGAGCTCCCGCGAAGCTTAGCCCGCTAGCCCAGCTAGCCCGAACCGACGCCAGGACACAGCAAAACCCTAGCCTAATATTGTAATGCTGTAGGGCACCTGCTGTCGCCATGGCCTTGATCGAATGCCGGAGCCATCTTCCACCCAGTCAGAAGAAAGATGGCAAAGTCTGAGCGCCGCTTTGGACAAGTGGGAGAGCTCCCGCACCCTGCTAGCTCGGACGTCACTGACAGCGGTGCTGCACTGGGAGCATGGCAGGGAACAGGTAGACCCTCCACTGGACGGACTTCCTGCACAGTACTGATGCTCTGAAGCAGACCATCAGCAAAGCGCTGCAGGGGGTGATTCCCGCTGAGGCCCCGCTCGCAGCATTTATCGTTGCTGACAGCCAGATGGGCGCATCAGTGTAGCCAGATGGAGGCGAGACAAGCCGGATCAGCTCACGGTTGGTTGCCGAGCAGGCTACAACTGCCCACCCAAAACGCTCAATACCGAGTGCAGTTGCTCGCGGCAGAGGCGAGCTCGCACTTTGAGCGAAGCACTGTGAAACTGGCACAATCCACATGTCGGACTTCGAGCATGATTGATTGCGTTTGTTCGTGAAAAGAGGGACGACGTTCGCAGCAAGCAGCTCGAGATGATGCAGCCGCATGGAGAGAAGACAGCCGTAAGCCGGTCATGCGCAAACAGACTTCGACGCTATTTGAGGAATCATCAGCATGCATCTGCAAGAGTAGAGTGCCCAAACCCTAGCTAACGTAGTGCTTCTTGATGGTCTTTACAGATGGGGAGTCCTGGCTTCGTGGTGAGTGTCTTGATCCGAGGCAGTTTGAGTTTGTCCTCCAGAAGGCATCCCACTTGGATCACGCATCAGTCGAGCCATGGCTTCGGTGTAAGGCTACCTGGGTGGTTGTTTTTGGATCCCCCTGTTATAAATACTGCACCTAAAATTTAGGGTACCCCAACAGGGATCATAATTCTTGACAGCCAGCCACATGGTTGAAGTTTGAGGTTGAGGGCTTAATAGGGCTGCAGAGTTTGAGGGTCTAGGGGCCCCAGCTGAGTTCTAGGCAGCTAGATCTGCGCATGATTGCAGTTGCTTTCTAAGGCAGTGAGATGCGTGCGAATGCAAGCAAAGAAGCCATAGATCCTGCCACCAAAAACCCGAAGCCCTAAACCCTAAACCCTAAACCCTAAACCCTAAGCCCTAAGCCCTAAGCCCTAAACCCTAAACCCTTTGCTAAGGACACGGAGTCTTTCGCCGAGCACCTCAGGCCGTTCCACGGGAAGCCGGCGGCGGCCACCTTTCGCAACATAGGGGGTGCCCTGGCACGAGCTGCTTCTTAGGGTTTAGGGTTTAGGGTTTAGGGTTTAGGGTTTGTTGTAATTATCGGTGGGTGGTATGGCAGCACCCTGATTTGAAATGCTAGGAGGTGCGCCGACACAAGTTCGGGCCAAGCATGTTCCGCAGTTCAATTCGCCACCGAATCCTTGAGTGGGAATGCTGCGATGATTGCAGCGTAGCATGTCGTTCCCTTCACACCTTTGTCTTTAGCGAAGCCTTGAAGACGTAGTGACTATTGCCAGCCTGCCGATTCAAGTTATGTCTCCGTTGTGGGGTGCCTACTTAGGCGACTCCACCCTAGTGTCGCCAGCACAAGACGCGACCATGAAAGCGGAGGACCTTCGCAGCATGCCATCGTGAGATTCTGCATTGTTGAGTGTTCCAGTTTCGCAACAAAGACGCGGATTCAAGATTGGAGCATCTCAGCCCTCAAATCCTCCATCCGGGGTTTTCCTTCTGGAGCAAGCCTAGAAATCAAATCAGATGGCTGCAACCTCTCTGTTGATGCATGTCAAGCTGGAAAATCAATCAGGCCAATGTGGTTTAGCAATCCTTGAAACTAGGCAACTAATGAAAGTGACGTCGCTTGTTCATTTCAGGAAAGTGGCTGATACGATGCTGATACGAGTATGTTGATTCAAATTCGACATTGCCTGGGGGTTGGCCAACACCCTAAACCCTGAACCCTGAACCCTAAACCCAAAAAGGGACACGGTTTTCAGTCTCTGGCCTAGCTTGCAAGTTTTTCTGGCCCGATCCGATTGAAAATGCTGATTACTTTGGCGGCCTAAGCAGTAGCACTGAAACATCACGCACCCTCCGTGACTTCTAGCAGCGGTTGAGATATTTGAATCTCCAATGGTTTCGCATGGTTTCGCAGTCTCGGAACTTATTCAAAGTGATAGTTTGGAATTCGAAGCTTTAATGCTCGTATATGCGACAATGTTAAACGTTCTGGCCCACTCGGCTGCTCAAGCGCATTCGAAAACATGACTGCAATCTCCCACGACATGACTGTTGACATGACTGCAATTGAACTGTCGCTTGCACACAACCAATGCAAAACATGAATGCACCCGAGATCGCCAGCAGAAATATTGTAAACTCCACAGTCTTGCTGGGGTAGAGAGTTTCAAATGCTTCTGGACTTCCGGAACCTTCCTAGTTTAGTGTTTCCGTTTCAGATCCTCAACGTAGAAATGCCACTTCTATTCCTGCTATTCCTGGTATGTTTCAGTACACCTTATTCACAGGTAAACCCTAAACCCTAAACCCTAAACCCTAAACCCTAAACCCTAAACCCTAAACCCTATACCCTATACCCTATACCCTATACCCTATACCCTAAACCCTACACCCTACACCCTAAACCCTAAATAGAGCAGAAGCTGCCCAAGGGCCACCCATCATGTGCTAGTCGGTGGAAGTGGCGATTTCGTACTATGACACATTTTTTCTCTGTGGTGCTTTACTGTAACTTTTGATCCTTAGCCTTTTTGGGTTTATTGGGTTTCTGAATAAGGCAGCTAAAAATTGAATTTATAGCTACCTTGCTAAGTGCAGTCAAGTTATCTGCCTGCATGCGTGTTCCATGTTGCTGCCTTACGCAGACGAGCTTCTCAGAGAGGATCCCTGATTCAGGACTACCTGCATATTGGCTCCTTCTTTCGAAAAGCATCTGCCGAGCAGCACGACGCTGCCTTGAAGGCAACTGTTGGTTGTGAGGTTGGGAGTTTCTGGCCGGTTGCCCAAACCCGAATTCCCAAAGACTCCCAGGGAAAGCCCTAAGCCCACTATGGAGAATGGCGTGCTTGACCTTCCAGCTGCCCAGATCATTGTGTACTGAGTGTAATGGTTCTCTCTGCAACGGGAAAGAGCATCCTGTACCGGGGTTTAGGGTTTTGGGATTTTTGGGTTTTGGGGGTTTAGGGTTTTTAAGGGTTTTGATTTTTTTTAAAAAGGGTTTTAGGGTTTTTGGGTTGTAGGGTTTTAGGGTTTTAGGGTTTAGGTTTAGGCTTGGTTTAGGCTGTGAACCCAAATCGCCAAGCAAACCCTAAACCCTAAACCCTTAACCCGAAGCAACACTTCGCAAAGCACCAGCCTGGCCTCGGACCGAAAGCCGTTCAGGCAGTCGGCACTGCCCTACGACAACGACTGGAGAGTGAGCCGAAGGCCGAGGGTGATCCTTAGGTTTCAGGGTTTGCCCTAAACCCAGAACACCCTAAACCCTCCTAAACCCTAAACCCTAAACCCTAAACCCTAAACCCTAAACCCTAAACCCTAAACCCTAAACCCTCAACCCCCAACCCTAAACCCTACGCCCTAAACCCTAAACCCCCAAATCCTGCCAGGCCCCTTTTTGGCTCAACACCGAGGGCAGTGGCGTCTCCTGGCTCCACTTCCGTGTCGATCCGAGACCAAAGCGACATGGCAAGCACTGCTCTCGCAGCACTTCGTAGGCTCAGGGTTTAGGGACTCAGGAGTTTACGAGATTAGGGTTTAGGGTTCAGGCTCAGGGTTTAGGGTTTAGGGTTTAGAGGTGTAGGGGTTAGGGGTTGAGGGGGGGGGTTTAGGGTTTAGCCTTAGCGGCCTGGGCTTTCTGAGGGTGGGGGAGTCTAGGTTTGTCAGGCGTTCCCCCACGCACCGAGCAGGATGCCATTCTGAGGGCTCTTCGGGCCTTTCAGGTCCCAGGTTGTGTTTAGTGAGTTTAGTGGCTGTAGTGGCGAATAGCTTCGTGAACAGAGGCCTCTTGCGAGTTATGATGCTGTGCCACCAGCACTTGCCTTGCTCGAGGTATTATCATCATGCTCCATATCGCTCGGCGAAGCCGCTCCGCTCAACGTCTGCCCGCATCTTCCAGCGGCTCCAACGTCGGATGCTCTTTGGAACCTGAACCCTGAAGCCCTAAATGAACCCTAAACCCTAAATCCTAAAAAACTGCCCATGTGAGGTACGGTCTGGCGTCGGAGGGGTGCGCTGCTTGACGCCCAAGTCTCCATGGTCCAAGCAAGTGGAACTGCTTTGCTTTGCAGCAGCTTCAGCAGCCTGAGATGAAACGTTGCTGAATGGGCCTTTTGGGTTTAGGGTTTAGGGTTTAGGGTGTAGGGTTTAGGGTTGCGGTTGCTGAATGGGCCTGATAATCTTCTGGGCTCTCCGCCGATGAGGGCGCAGAGCAGCCACTGCCCAAAAACGAGCTCATCAGCTTACGGGCCCTTTCTTGTTGTCACTACGGATGAAGTCTCTTGTCTCATTGAGGACTAAGATACTGAGCAGTTTTTGGCAGCTGTTGCTGCAGCTTCGCCGGTAGATGGGAAGAACGCGGCGCCTATTGGTACAGCGAGCTTTCGTTGCACGCTTA